GATATATCTACCTCAAAGTATAATGACTGGTCAACTGAACACCAATGTTTCTGACCTTCCGTGTGGGACTGACATCGTGACCATCAATCAACAAATGAGGCGAACCAATTTAAGAAAGATCCAGAGGGGAGCTGATGAATATGGCTTGTCGGCATTTAGTCGCAAACGTTTTGGCGCAACCATGAATTAACATCTGCTAGTGATGCAGATAGCACAGAAGATGCTGTTGCATCGGCTGGTCCTAACCGGATATACATTTGAGTATCGTCTGCACAGCAATGGTAGGATAAACCAAGATGTTGGAGCAGAATGGTGCCTAATGGATGTTAAAAAGTGATGGGCCAAGCACAGATCCCTGCGGAACACCACAGAGAAACGATCTAATTGGCGACTTGAAGCCATCCTTTGTAACGAAGTATCTACGATTATTGAAGTAAGAGTGGAACCACAGCAAAGCTATGCCAGAGATCCCCATTGAATCTTCCAGTCGCTCAAGGAGAACCCTGTGATCAATGGAGTCAAATGCCGCACTTAGATCTAGCAGAATGAGGAGGCTGACAAAGCCTTTATACAGTCTCGGTGCTATGCGCAGGTCTGAACCCCGATTGAAAGTGGTCAAATTGATCGTTTGAGGCCAGCAGATGCTGATGTAAAAGAGTGACCACAGCTCGTTCCAGAATTTTAGACACACGGAAGGTTGGATATTGGGCGACATTTTTCTGGAAGCTCGGGATCAAGACTCAGCTTTTTTAAAAGTGAGGTGACCGCAAGCCATCTTAAAATTGTTAGGAACGGTGCTGGTTTTGAGGGACTTTACTCTTTGGTTTTATTGGGTAAAGTCACGTAGTGAAAATAAAATAACAAAAAATCACGACGTTTCGGCCACAACACAAGCGGCCTTCATCAGGTGAACGGACGAGACTGTCTGGAGGACATCGCTGTCTCGTCCCTTCACCTGATGAAGGCCGCTTGTGTTGTGGCCGAAACGTCGTGATTTTTTGTTATTTTATTTTCACCTACGTGACTTTACCCAATAGAACCAAAGAGTATGGATCCTAGCAGTCACGAAAGCTTTAAATCTAGAATTTGAGGGACCTGTTGAGAAGGCTGAAGGAAAACGGCCTCAGAATAACGAAATGGTCCCGTAACAGTCTTGAAGGGAAGGGATCCAGTGGACAGTTGGGATGTCGAGAGACGGCAAATAAAGAGATGAGTTTCTCACTTGCGGGAAACTCGGTTAAGAATGTGCCCTCGAACTGACCTGGAGGCAATTAGGAAAGAGAGGGAACAGAGAGAAGCGGTATTAATTTGGACTGGACAGAAAGCAGCGGAAGAGTGGGAGATTACATTTGCTTCCTTATTCAAACGTTTACTGATACAGGTAAATAAGGCCCGATGTTTGTTATCACTATTTGCAATGCAAACAGCAATGTAGGAGGATTTATCCAAGACAATGTTGCTTTGGTAAGTACGAAGGTCTTTAAATATTTGATGATGAATAGTGAGGCCGGACTTTCTCCAAGCACGTTTGCGCCCTCAATTTTGCAGTGTACCATGGCGAAGGACGATGGGAAGATATACAACGGGTTCATGAGGGAACCAAATGATCCAGGATCTCTGACAGAACAGAGTTATATAATTGAGCAGATTCTTCAACGGGCAGTTCGTACTCATCACCTAGTGGAGAACTCGATAGGGCATCTGTGAGGGAGGCTGGGGTGATCGATGTAATTTTGCGAAATGAAATTCGATGTTTAATAGAAGGGCCAGGAAGGGACAAGGATATATCAAAGAGAACCAAAGAGTGGTCTGAGATTCCTGGATCCATGTCAGTCAGTTCTGATAGTGACAGCCCGAGAGAACAAACCAAATCTAAAGTATGTCCACCAGACTGCGTTACCTGTTTGACATGCTGGATGAAACCAAAAGAATCAAGGGTGGCCAAAAAATCCCTGATATGAGGTTTGGATGGTGTATCAACATTAATATTGAAGTCACCAATTATATTCAGAACGAGCACACACCACCGAGAGGAACTCAGAGGACTCTGCAAGGAATGTGGAAATTAACCTTGGAGGGTGATTGAACAATATTAGCAATGCCGACTGGGTGCAAATTGGCCTCCAAGCTAATGCGAGGTGTTCAAATGACTGGAACGTTGGCAATGGGACAGGTTTTACAAATGCTGAATTTTCATGAAATAAAGCGAGGCCACCCCACGACCTGATGACCGTGGATTCTCACAATAAGCGAAGCCAGCGCCTCGACCGCCGTGCCCCCGCATGCCTCGTCCCTGGACCTTGCCCCCACCACCACCACTCGAGTCGAACCTCGGAGTGAACAATCTCGGAGGAGCATCACCACCAGGTTGTTGGGAGGGGGTAGGGGCGGGGCTCCATGGTACCCAGCACTGAAGGAGGAGGCGGTTCCCATGGCGACTGTGCACAGTTGCTATGCCGCGAGTGGCAGAGTGATTAGGGACGGCGATTGTATTGGACGGGAACTGGTTCGGGGTAGACGTGGCGATAGATCCTGGGGAGGGGACCGAGTGGTGTGTGTGTGTGTGAACAGCTGCAGCAGTGTGCTTGTGTACGTCCATACACAGCGATGTGCGTGTGCGTGGGGAGCGGTGGGGCAGTGGTTAGCGCGCTGCAAACCTGGCGACCCGAGGTCGATTCAGAACTGGGACTGAACCCCCACCAGGTCAACTCGGGATCAAATGAGAACCTGGTGCGGCGTGTAAACATCGCCACTATGGAGACAAAGACGGCACACATGGCGTGGTGTGCCGTGCCTGCCTCCATAGGTGATCGCTATCAGCACTATACAGAGATCTTTGTCTGATGGCGATCAGAGCCTGGGTTGCTTTATCGCTGTCCTGCGGTTTGCTTCAGAATAATAATAACAATGATGTCGACTTGTAAACCCTGCACCGCCGCCGCACAGCGTTCGCTCGTCACTATGAAAGAGAGGACGACTCAGAGGCTCAATGAGGATGAGGAACCACAGATACGAGCAGTAGCCAAGCTCTGTGGTCCTCTATATATGAAGCTGTCATCAGCCAAGTAATGGATGTTTACATGTGGAAAAAAAAACCGGAGCACCCGGAGAAAATTCACTCGTGTGAGTGGGCAACATTCTACCCTGTACAGATGGAACGAGTGGAGTCCACACTTTGCTGTGCCGCCTTCTCCTGGCAGAGCCAGGGTGTGGTACCTCGACGCCCACAGGGAAGGGAGTTTCACGACATTTGTGTGGTGATTCACCAACCCTCGCTGCTGTTTCCTCCACAGTGCTGGCCTACAGGCCGCATGTGGAGGCACCACCGCCAGGCTAAGATGTTTTCATTTGGTTGCTGCTGACTGCTTGGTCCCGTGGTTAACGCTGCTCGGAGCCACGCGGACTCTCGTGTTTCAAGTTTCATTTGCGTAACCAGGTGGGAGCTCGAGAGTTTCAGTTTAATTTCAGTTTCATTTGTTTGGTATAGCCCTGTGAGCCATTCGGGGAGAGTCTCATTTGCAAACTGGGGGTCACCAACACGACAAAATAAATAACGTGAAAAGTACAGCAACGAAGCGAATATAAATCAGAGCAGAGACAACCAAATAAAGATACATGGGTATTGATCTTGTAGTGTGCGTGTAATAGACATCTGGTGTGGTCGTTCCATTTCCTAGAATGCCGCGTTTCATTCCTTGGGTTCTGCTCCGTTATTATTCTCGACCATCGTCCTTTTGAGCCATGGCGCGTCCTGCAAGCCCAATCCCCACTTCTCGTCGCTATATTTGCGTATTGAACATGACGGACGTCCTCTAATCTCCTCTTTCTGTCTCTCGTGATTCCAAGCATGCGCCTCTCCTTTCCAAGCTTCTTTACAGTTTTTGCTCCACGTGTTTTGCGAATGACCGCGTGCTTCTGACCCGTATCTCATAGCGGGCGGTCGTGGTAACCACGCTGCTTGCACGCGTCTCCCTTTAGGCCTCGGTGCTTGGTACTGTTCACGACCGGCTCGAGTCTTCCAGGAGCGCTGCCACGCGCCCCGGGCCGCCTCTCGACCCCGCAGCTTCCATTGCGGTGCGGCAAGAGGCGGTCCAGAAAAGTAAAGCCTTAAAAAAAGACAGGGCCCCTACATTCGTAATAAAACATGTACACTTTCACCTTTTAGTGTTTAGTTTGTTGTCCTTCCGCCGCACCTCCGATGAGCACCGTTGGCTACGTACGGTGCGAAACAAGTTCAACACATATATATAAACATAAAGTGCAAATATTTAGGGTCTCAAGATGAAGTGGGGCAGGGGGGCGATTTCCCCCTCCGCCTGTGATCCGACACTGCCGCCCCCCTTCAACAGCTGTCCGAGACACACACAAGCTCGGAAGCTCGGCTGTTGTGCAGCAGCGTCCCTACGTGTGTGCGCGTTAGGGTGCCCGTGCAGCAGGCTGTGTGCGCGCGTTAGGGTGCCCGTGCAGCAGGCTGTGTGCGCGCGTTAGGGTGCCCGTGCAGCAGGCTGTGTGCGCGCGTTAGGGTGCCCGTGCAGCAGGCTGTGTGCGCGCGTTAGGGTGCCCGTGCAGCAGGCTGTGTGCGCGTTTGGGTGCCCGTGCAGCAGGCTGTGAGAGCGCGTTAGGGTGCCCGTGCAGCAGGCTGTGTGCGCGCGTTAGGGTGCCCGTGCAGCAGGCTGTGTGTGCGCGTTACGGTGCCCGTGCAGCAGGCGATGTGCGCTAGGGTGCCCGTGCAGTAGGCTGTGTGCGCGCCTCGTGTATGTGGGGGGGGGAGACGCGAGCGTCCAGTGCGCACGCGGTTTGTGTCGACGCGTCTCGAGCCCCCGGCCACTCTGCGCCTCTCGTTGCTTCAATTGTCACGAGCAACAAAGACTCCGATTCAGAGCCAACAAAACGTGCTCCGTGCAAGCATAAGCTCCGCAAGTGACCCTACCCCTCACAATGGGATCAGATCAGCACCCACCCCCCCCCCCCCCCCACAAACACACACCATGAGATCTGCCCCCCACAATGAGAAATGTACACAGGTCTCCACTGCCTCCAAGCGCGGCGGTGAAGCCGAGGGGCGGGGCCGAGCGCGCCGCTCGCGAGGCCCCTCCCCCCTCCTCCCCCCCCCCCCATTCAGCATCGCGGACCCCGCTCGGCAGGCGCCGCCCCCACCTCGGCTCCACTCGCGGAGAGCGCCGCACGCAGCAGCCGCGCGTCCATTCATCCCGCGCGCCGCAAACTCGGCTCCATCTCCACGGGGATCGTGCCGTCTTTACGCGTGGGTTCGAGCAAAGGGTCGAGCGAGCATGGGAAATAGCACGGGGTCGACCTTGGTACCAATTGCTTCTGTGGACGGAATCGCTGTTCCACTCGATTCTTGTTCCATAAATCCTTCTATGGAAGAGCACACGCCCAGGATCCATCTCCACGAGACTCGTCCCGTCTCCCCGCGCCTCGAGTGACCACGAGGAGCCGCTCGCTCTGCGCGCGCTGCCTCCGCGCTGCTGCTGTTGCGCTCCTCGGGTTCCCGCGCTGGAGGAGGGGGCGCGCCCGCGTCTCGGCTGCCCGCGCCGCTAAGGGCCGTGAGGTAAGGAGCGCGGCATCGCGCTCATCACAGCGGGACGATCCGGGGGGGGGGGGGGGGGCAGGACCCCAGCAACTTGGGGCCCCGCGACGGGGACCCGAGCAGGGTTCGAGCGGAGGAACTGGGATTTCGCGCGTTCGTTCGTTAGGAGGAAGACGACGAGGAGGAGGACGTCGAGCAGCAGCCGATCTTCCCTCGACGACGACGCCGGATCGAGGGAGCTGAGCGGAGGGACCCAGAGGTCCGGTCCGTGACCCTCGAGGACCCCCCTCCACCTGACATTGACCTCCCGAAGACCCCCACAGCCTCCGTGACCACCAGACGGGGTCACGACGAGGAGGAGGAGGAGGGGACCGTGACGACAACCGAGACAAGAAAGGGGGCCTCTGAGGGTCAGCGTTTTCGGGACCAGGGTCTATCTCCACCCCGCCCCCCCACTCGAGGGGGGGTGGGGGTGATCGAGGGTGGGGGGAGAGGAGTTCGTGGCGCCATGCGAGGGTCGCGCTGGCTACTCGTCCGTCTCGTCCCGCTGCTTTTGGGGGTCGCGGCGGCGAGGGGGCCCAGCGCGTGGGCCGCCAGCGGGGGCGCCGGCTCGGCCGCGAGGCCCCCCGGGGCCACGGCTGAGCCGTCGCCACCGCCCGAACCGTCGCACGAGCAGACGCCGGAGCAGTGCCGCGGCTACTACGACGTGATGGGCCAGTTCGACCCCCCGTTCGTGTGCCAGAAGCACCCCTTCTTCATCTGCTGCGGCTCGTGCGGGTTCCGCTACTGCTGCAAGGAGCCGAGCGCGCGTCTAAACCAGACGCAGTGCGTCAAGAACGAGACCCCGCGCCTCGCCAACGACTCCACGGGGCCCCCAGACGTCGTGGGGCCCTTCGGCCCGACGCGCGACAAGACGCACATGGTGGTGTACTCGGTGTGCGGCATCGTCGCCTTCATGCTGCTGGCGGGCATCTTCACCAAGGTCGGCCTCTACAAGCCCGCGGGGGGGCTGCTGCCCGCGCAGCCCCCTGGGGAGCCGGGCGGACACTGCAGGTAGGGGGACTGGGGGTGTATCCGAAGGGTTTGGGGTTCTGTTTGGGTTTGGACGCCCCGAGGGGGCTCAATTGTAAAATGACCCCGAGGGGAATCGTGCACAAACCGAGGTGTGGTTTGCGAGCTCCTCTCCCGGTGCTGGGCAGCACGGCCGCTCAGGAACTGACGGCGCGGACGGTTGTGGTTGGGTTCGTGGTTTTTGTCGTTTCTTTGGTATGGTAGTTGCGCTTATTATTGTGGATATTGTTGTGGTTATGGAGGTTGCGGAGGTTGTGGTTATTGTGGAGATTGCAGTTGTTGTGGTGATTGTGGTTGTCGTTATTCTGTGGTTGAGGATGATGATGAATGAAGGCTCCGTGTTTCATCTGCGAGACTCCGTTATCAGGAGTCGCATGTTACACCCACACTATCTTCACACGTACGCGCACACACATACGTGTACACACACATACGTGTACACACACATACGTGTACACATACACACATACGTGTACACATACATACATACGTGTACACATACACACATACGTGTACACATACACAGACAACAATCTCCATTGTAGTGCTTTTAGCCAGCGCCTATGAAGTCTGGCACGGTACACGAGGGGGTGGGTGGCCAGCACCACGCCCGACCGCCTTTGTCTCCCCAATAACGATGTTTACACACCGTAGCAGGTACTCATTTGAGGTTGAGTCGAGATTGAGGAATGGCCCAGTACCGGTTCAGATAATCGTCACTGGTGTTGGCCGTGAGCGGGAGTCGTGGCGCAGTGCGCGAATCGCTCCGCTCAACGTGCACACAAAGAACCCCGTGGAGCCGTAGACTCTGGGAACAGGTGATGTGAGTGAGCACCTTTGAAAGTCGGCACGGCACACAAGGGAGTGGATGGCCAACATCATGCCCGACCGCCTTTGTCTCTCCAGTGGTGAAGTTTACACACCGCACCAGGTACTCATTTAAGGCGGAGTCGCCCTAATAGAGGCCCAGGACCGGTTCAGATAATCATCATTTGTGTAGACAGTGAGCGAGTTCGTAGCACAGCGCGCTAACCACTACACCACTGCTCCCCACGTGCACACACACTCACACGTGTACACACACGTATAACAGCTGTCATTCGCCACTAAGAGGCGATGACGTCCCCACGATGCTTGTGCCAGGCTAGGTGCACGTTGAGGCCACGTGAGGGGTAGAAGGCTCGCTGGAAGGTAACGGGGCAGACCCAGGTGCCATGGGTTGACTGAAATGACTGGCAGATGCACCACTTGTGCTCCCGTATGTGCGAACTTTGTGTGTTTTAGCCGCCCGACGCTACGTTTAGTTGTTGTGAGCGTGGTTACTCTGTCCTCCATTGTTGTTGGATAGCGACTGCCTCCAACTGCCCAGTAACATCCTTCACGATCCTCCTCCACAGAGGTCAATCTTAAAGCCGCTGGAACCAGTCATCTGCAAGTCCAATCAGCTCCACGTCCTTCCTAACTACATCATTCGATCTCCTCTCCCCCTCCCCTATCTGGCCCAGGGGTCGGCAACCAAAATAACAAGATAAAAAATGTCCAATTCTGTAAGAACTCATTATTTCAAGAGCCGCAGTAAATATGAATAACGTCACGAAGCAGTCCTTGAAGAGCCGCATGTGGCTCTGGAGCCGCAGGTTGCCGAGCTCTGATCTGGCCAAACAGAAGCTGCTTGGGCATGCGGTGGCTGGGCTGGCGTGCTCCATTACCCAGCCAGCTCAGCCTCGCCTCCCTGAGAAACTCACAGATGGGACTGTGTCCGGAACATTCAAAAATCCTTGCGCTCATATTATCCAGTCTGATTATACTCCGGATGGATCGTAGGCAGGTTAGCCTGAATGATGTTCCTGTAAAGGGCTGCACGTTTCACATGCATAGAGAAGGGAGGGCATAAATGTGCGGACAGGCCAGGCAGCTTCCACACAGCGTTGCGCAGCTGATGAAAAGAGAATGCCGCTCGACTGATTCGACGGAGCGAGGCCACTGCCAAATTGCAAATGTTGTTGTGCATGTGTGAGTGTGAATATCTTTCAGTTCCATTCCCGATCACGGCCAACACCAACGACGAAAATTAGTGTCTGGGGCGGTGTGTAAACATCAACCATCGGAAGACAAAGGCTACCGAGCGCGGTGCTGGCTACCCCATCTTCCTGTGTTATCTATTGGTCTTCATAGATGGTCGCAAACAACACTTGCCTGTGTAGACTCCACGGGGGATCTTTGGTCCAGCGTGTCTGTGTGCGCACACTGCAGTGCATGCGGATAGCAATCAGCGCGCGCCTATGTTGTGATGCTACCTGGGAAATGGTCCCAATGTCTCAACCCGTCCCCGTGTGAGGCACCGGGGCTGCAGGGTGAGGGGTGAGTGAGATGTGATGGGGTGAGCGAGGGTGATGTGACGAGGTGAATGGTGAGTGACGGGGGGGGGGGGTGAGCGATCGTCCCCATTGCACCCCCCGATCCGCGCCTCGTCCACAGCTGGAGGAGAGGGAGTCAGCCTGCCCCCCTCCCTCTCTCCCCTGCCCCCCCTCCCTCTCTCCCCTGCCCTCCCTCTCCTGCCCCACACCGCTCTCCCGTGCCTCCTCTCCCCTGCCCCCCCACTCTCCCCTGCCCTCCCCTTCCTTTCACCCTCCGCTCTCCCCTGCCCCCCTCCCTCTATCCCCTGCCTCCTCTCTTTCTCCCCTGCCCCTCTCTCTTCCCTGTCCTCTCCTCTCTTTCTCCCCTGCCCCCCTCTCTCCCCTGCCCTCCCCTCCCGTTTTCCCCTGCCCTCCCCTCTCTCCCCTGCGCTCCCCCTCTCTCCTCTGCCCTCCCCCTCTCTCCCCTGCCCTCCCCCTCTCTCCCCTGCCCTCCCCTCTCTCCACTGCCTCCCCCTCTCTCCCCTGCTTCCCCCCTTTCCCCTGCCCTGCCCCCTCCCCCAGGCTGCTGGACGTGTCTGCACACCAAGAGAGTGGACTGGCGCTGCCCACGGACAGCGGCTCCACGCCGGGGTTCCCCTCCATGCTGCCCCCCCGGGCCTCCTCCATGGAGGCCGGGTTCATGCACGGAGCAAGGCCCAGCCTGGGTACACTCACCACGCTCACTCACCATACTCACCACGTACACCACACACCATGCTCACCACGCCACGGACACTCACCATGCACACATTCACCATGCACGTGACTAATTCCCCATGACGGATTTGCAATGTACCTCGTGACTGATTAATCTTCCCCGTGACTGATTCACTGTGATTCATACGCCATGTTCCTCGTGACTCATTCGCCATGTTACTCGTGACCGACTCTCCGTGTTACTTATGACAGATTCACCGTGTTCCCCGTGACGAACACTCTGTGTTCCTTGTGACTGACTCCCCGTGTTCCTGTGACCAACTTTCCATGTTCCTTGTGACCGACTCCCCGTGTTCCTGTGACCAACTTTCCGTGTTCCCCGTGACTGACTCTCCGTGTTCCTTGTGACCGAATCCCCGTGTTCCTGTGACCAACTTTCCGTGTTCCCCGTGACTGATTCACCATGTTCCCCGTGACTGATTCACTGTGTTTTCTCCGTCCTCTCTTCATTCCTAGATCAGCCCCAGCTCAAGACCATCTTTCATTCACAGCCGCACCTGGCCTCGGAAGCCCCGCCCACTTACGAGGCAGCCAATCAGGCGGAGGGAGGCCGACATCCCTCCCTTCCGAAGCGAATTGGTGAGGATGCCCTTCCCAAATATTGAGGTCCACGTGACCATGGCTCCCTCTGCTGGCCCGGCGCTCCGTTCCCAACGCATAGGGAAGAAAAACTGAGCTGGGTTTGAGTGGATGGCAGCACGGTTGAGCACGGGTGTCGGGATGTTTGCTCGACGGGAGGATTGGTGGGTCTCTTTAAAGCTGGAATCAGGTGATAGAATGGGGGGGGGGGGGGGGGAGCAGAGCGGTGGAGACATATGTCTGGTGGGGCTGAAGTAGATTTGGGATCTAGGAGATGGCCGAGGGAGGGTAGTATTCACAAAGTGATGGGTGAGATGGTAGCGAGAGCGATGTACGTGGTGTTGGAAGTGATGATGGAGTGGCTATGAGAGTGAGCGGGAGATGAGATCGATGCGGAGATCCTTCGAATTCTGGACAGAATTTAAGATGGAACTCGGTGGATTATATACACGGATGTAGACATCGCCCGAAATGGTTTGTAGAGGGGAGGAATTAGGAATTACTTCGTGTCGAGATTTGATTTGGACGTGATAGAGTGGTAGAGATGCTCAAATATGAAATTTTGGAAATGAATTCTTGAATATAAATCCACTTAACAGCAATTTTGGTCGGTTTCAACGTGGGGATGGACGATGAATCCACCAATGCTGGCTGGGGTCCATCTGGTTGTCTCTCATAAGCGGCCACGCCCCCCCCCCCCCCGTGTCCGTGCTATTGCAGAGAAATCCGGGCTTCTGGATCACTTTGGGAAGATTCACTTCTCTTCTGACGCGGGGCCGCCAACCTCCCTACCCCTGCGCTCTGCCACCCCCGTCAAAGCGAGCACGTCGCGCCAGGCGAGCGAGGCAAGCGGCAAGGAGGGCGGCCGCGGGGACGAGGACGAGCTGGCAGGGGCCAAGAGCCGCATGACCAAGATGCACTCACACCCCGGCGCGTGGATGAGCCCCGCCAGGGAGCGCTCCCTCCCCCGTGGTGAGGGGGACTCTGTGTCGCGCTCGGGCTCCCAGGCGCTGCACCAGCAGCAGCAGCACCACCACCACCACCCGCACCACCACCACCACCACCAGCCGCCGCACCAGCAGAGCCAGCACCAGAGCCAGCATGAACATCACCAGCCGCAGCACCATCAGCTGCAGCACCAACATCAGCAGCAGCACCACCACCATACCCTCCAGCACCACCACACGCGGGAGCAACAGCAGCAGCAGGGTCCTGGGGGCCCCGGGGTGCGGGGGCAGCTGTCCCAGCAGGACACCTGGCCTGGGCCCCCACGCTACCACAGTACCCTAGACAGGGTCCCGACGAGCGGCAGCGGGAGCGGCCGACATCACCAGCGTCAGCAGAGCACGCTCCGACCCTCGCAGACGACGCTCAGCAAGGCCGAGGTGACGGTGTGAACGGCGCTGACCTCGTCTCGTCTGCAAGGCGAATGCAAGTTGCCCCACGTTCCTGCCGATGGGCCCCTGTCGTCTCCCACCGTGGCGTGTGCTGTGCGGGTTCGCGTGCGAGCGGCGCGTGCAACGGTGCTGCTGGTGGCCCCACCGCCCCGGCCCCATGTCCCTGCGGGCGAGGGTGTGCGGCCTCACAGTGACCCTGGCTGCCCTGGTCGCTCCCCGCAGAGCCCCGCGCGGAGCAGAGGTTGTGGATTGTCATGGAGCGCGGCGTGTGTCCCCGGGTTGTGTGTCGTGATTCGTACACAGTTTACATGTTGGCGGTCGTGGTTCAGATGAGCGGAGCGTGCGCGGCGACGTGTCGCGCGGCCTTCGCGACCTTGTTCATCTTTGTCGAGGGAACGGTAGGCGGAACGAGACACCTGGGGGCCACCGTGGCAACCCCGGGCCGAACCCACGAGGCCGGTTCGCGGGCGGCACCGTCGGTCGTGGACACGCGCTGCGTTGTCCAGGATGCATCTCTGGGCCCCGCAGGGGCTGCACGTGCACAACTATCCCAGGCCACAATCACAGCCAGCACTGGATTTTAATCACACGTGTAGTCTTTGGTGGCAAAGAAGAAAAGTTGATGTTACCGTGACTTTCTCCGAGATCGTCGTTTTATATCCATCGCTCGCGCTCGCGTGCATCACATTCAACCGCTTGTCCTTTTTGGACAAAGGTGAGAATGAGATTGAGCGGTGGTCGGGTTCATGGTCGCTGATCAGCAGCCTCGAGCGGAGGCCGCTCTCCCTAAACGTAATGATTTGTGGCACTTGATGGGGACGCTGCAATAACCTTAGCAATAACGACTCAGACTTGGAGTCCAGGTGTCCGCAGCAGCCACACGTCGATGTTAGCGGCCGAGTGTGCCCGTGGGGTTTATACTGTGGGTTTTCCGTCTATTTCAGGATTTTCTTCATATTTCTTGCCTTTTCCATAATTCTCTGGATTTTCCTTTGGGGTTTTCATTATTCTTTGAGTTTCTATAGCTTCCCCGTCAGTGTATTCGTTTTAATGAGATCTGTCGGTATTTGAAGCTATCCATTGATTTACCGGTCTGGGGATCCAATTCCGGCGCTTTCTGTTCCTGTACCACATGGAAATCCTCGAGTCTCGGCCCTAACCAGGCCATCTCCCCCCACAACAAAGCACCGTGTCGCGTATCTTAAACTTCAAATCAAGAGGAGGCCGTGCTGAGTGAACTTCACGAGCAGGCTCAAGCAAACAAAGGTGTAGGCCGCAGTGGGCCCTCCAAACCCAACGTGACCAGGAGCGCTCCCCTCTCCTGCCAAAGTCTCCTGCATGGAAGAGTCGGCGCAACTCTCGCCACCATCGTTGGGCTCGCTCTCACAGTGAGCGGGGAGCGGCGGTCAGTTCTCCTCCTTCGCCCGTCCCCGCTTGCCGTAGGCAGGTGCCGATACAAGGGCTGCTTGTGCACGTGCGGTGGCTGGGGCCACCACACGCGCCATACTCAATATTCAGCCCCACAGGTGTTGCAGGTATTTTTGTCGATCAACACGACACGTGCCGCCCCAAGCCTGCCCAATTTACTCGCGTCCACGCAGTGGGGGCCTGGGTCGTGTGGGCCCGTGTCGGTGGTAAGCACAGCTGCATTCTCCACCAATAAAACCCAATAGTTTTTTGACGTTGTAATGTTAATATTAATAACTCTCGTCTACAATTCGAAATGTGCATGAGCCATGTGATTGTGTAATCATACATACATACGTAAGCTTTTTATGGAACGCACTCGTAATGTGTACACGACTTCAGTGGGTATTTTGTAAGACCGTGTGATGTCCACGCTTCCATATATTTATAATTACAAGTCATACACTAGTGAAATTACATGGAAAATGTTGGGGTTTTTGTCCATTCCAAGCTAATACTACTCGCTAAAAACATTCCAGCCGTGCGTCTGTGTGAACAGCAGGCCCGGCGGGGTGAGCGGACCCCTCTCCGAGCCGTGCCCGGGCCCGACACGGCCGTGGGGAACGCTGCATTTTGTCGCTGACTGATTCGTCTCGGCTGCAGGGTCTAGAGGTGGCGTAATTTCCATAATGGTTACAGAAACAATTTCTGGCGATCCGGAAATGAAGAGGACAGAGGTGCGAGCGGTGTCGAGGCAAAGCAATACGTGGCTTCCCGGGTAGCACAGCGAGACCGCGTGTAATATAATCCCTGGTGTTTTTGTTTACAATGTAACCACGGCGTATACGTGATTAAACATTAAAACGGCCTAAATGCAAGTGAGCTGTGTGCTCATGTCCCGGTGCAGCCTGCGCGCGCGCGTTGCATCTCAAGCAGGGCCCATGACGCGTCCACTCCCAAATGACACGGGCGCTTTATTGGCAACGGCTCTCTGCCCCACCACTTCCCTCTCCACTGCCCCCCCCCCCATCCATCCCCCTGTCATTTCTAAATCCATGTTCAACACACACACCCGAGTTACAGCTCGATGATCCAGCTTTACGAAGGCCATGTGCTTTTCTCAGTTAATAAAATCTATTGTGAGCAGCTGCAGCCGCCACCACCCTGTGCTGATCAGGCGCCGCGCCCACGCCCGTTTGTTTTTCCACGAGGGTCACTGCTCCACGTCAAGCTCGACGCGTTCCGGGATCTGGTCCATCCCGTAGTATCGGTGTCGCACGCCAGCCTCGGTTACCGTGACGACACGGAGACCTGACACGTCGCTGCCTATCTGGCAGCCGATGGCAGAGGAGACCACCACCTCGACGGCGCCGCAGCGCCCTCCCGCGTTGCGGTGGTAGTGCCCGGTGAACACGGCACAGACACCTGTGTGTGGCAACACGCGGGTGAACACAGGTGAGCGCCGTTCAGCTTCTTCACCTGTAATAACGATTTATTTTGCTCGAGCGCCATTACACGCCGGGGAGTCGGAGCGCTTTACACACAATAAGCTTACATCACATCTCGCACAAACCGGAGATAGCAGACACCCTCTACACACCCGCACAGCTCAAGTCAAACGCCTGGAGTCACGCAGGAGCTTCCTTACAACAACACGGGCACACAACGACACTCCTGCGAGGAGACGTGGCGGGAGCAACTCAGACGCATCGGTGCTGAGATCAGCTTGAACATCGAGGTGAGTGGACAACTCTCCACAGGTAAATTCGCGGGGTGGACGACAGGGATGACTGAACCAACTTGGCACTAAACCTGTCCACTTGGCAGTACACAACCAGAGAGCTGTTGCGACTACGGTAGCGAGAGGTGGACCGTGTGACACCTTTTGCTCTGCCCACTGCTTGAGAAAGGGCACTGCACTGTGCAGGATCTTGCAGCAGGCGACCCGCGAGCATCGAGATGCGATCGCCATTCGAAGGACACCGACTTTGGTGGACGGACACGAAAAGAAGATCTCACGCATTCGAATGGCATCCCGTGGCAGCTGTCCTGGCTCGAGGTGATTCAGAACCTGGCCTGAGCGGGCATGAGCCTTCCAGTAGGGAGCGGTGATTTCCGTGTGTAATCCCAATTGAGTAAATTGGAAGTAATAGTTCGAATTTGCACCGTGATGCCGTCGCACATCGGCCTACTCGTTTCTAACGAAGTCGGGGTACCTGTAATGTCCACTGTGCAACAGAGGGCGCGCGTACAGCCTCACGGTTATGACATCAACAGGATAACCAGGGTGGCCTTCTGGATTCCAAGTGGCGAACTTGCTAGTGCCGGGCCATGTCACCGCCCAGAGGTTGTGGCTGGCATACGTTTCACTGCACGAACGCAAAAAAACCTGATTCAACAACCGTGCGTGGGTCTGGTTGGGAGAGCGAGGTGGCAGTCACCAGCGGCGCTGAACTTGTCCAGGAGGCGCCGTCGCGCACGGCGCTCCACGTTGAAGTAGTCGTCGTCCTCGTCGGGTGCGACGAGGAAGAGCGGCGTGTGCTGCAGGATGACGAGTGGCCCACGCGGCCCCTCCGCCTGCAGACACAAGCGGCAGCGAGGAGATGACGTGCCAAACGCGCAAGGCAACACCCCAACGACAACATGCCAACAACACCTCAACAACAGCACCCCAGCACGCAACCCAACGCAGTGGCACCTGCCGAACAGTCGAGGGACGTCCGACAGACCCACGTCACCGGCGCCATCCGGCGATCGCGGTGGGGGACAAGTGCGGGCGGGAGCCCGCCGCTCACCCGGGCACCCTCTCGCCGGGGCCGGCGAGTGGTGGCAAGGAGAGAGGGTGGACGGATCTTCACCTTGTAGCTCTCGAGCTGCTCTTCGAGCCAGCGCTCCTGCTCCTCCGCTAGCTCGGGGCAGAGCGACGCGTCCACGAAGAGCTGCGAGTTAAGCACAAGGAAGCGCGCGCCACCCGCCCAGAAAGCGAAATAGTCGTCCCCCCAGGAGCGGCGGTACGCCTCCAACGTGGCGGCCGTGGGGGCGTTGCCGATGTCGTGGTTGCCCGGCAGCAGCACGAGCGGGATGGCGGGGTCCAGCTCGCACAGGGCAGCTCGCAGATCCTCCTCCTGCGCCGCGCGGTTCGCTTGCCCTGCGCCACGCGACGCGTCGTGCAGACAGAGCGAGAAGGGGAGCGGGAGGAAAGGCGAAAGGGTTAGGGGTGATTTAATGATCTGCGTGTTGATTGCAATTGTTGCCATTCGTGCCTTTTCTGATGGCAGTCTCGTTTCCAAGTTGACGGTGACGGATTTGACGGTTGCCAGCGTAAGACCCCACAATGACGGTGCCATGTGGGGCCATGGGGAGAGGCAACGATGACAGATGTCGCGACCGATGGGGGTAAGTCGACGCGGCCGACAGAGCCTAGTTAATGACTCTGCCAGGACAGCCGGGGAACTTATAAACGTGTGGTGCAATCGAACGAGCAGCCTGTCCCGAGTGAGCTGCGTTCTCTCATTACAGCTGCATGAGTTCGACAGTCTGAGCCTCAGGCGGTGCCCCGGCCTGCGAGCATCACCTCCGTTTGTGCGTGCGGTGGTGGTGATGATGAGTGCACGGGGCTAATGCTGGCGTGGACGCGGTCGTGGCAGCAGTAGCTCCATCAGTAGCTGGAGTTGTCTCCAACGCCGGGTGTCTCTGCCCCCAGCGAGACTCGATTCGGGCAGGGAGAGGGTGCTAGCATCTTGTGTGGTGAGTGCGTTTGTATGTAGAATATGTGGGTGCAGCGAGTGGGGTTTGTGCGTGGAGGAAGTGTGCATGTGCATAGAGTGCGTGGTGATCGAGTGTCGTTAGTACGTGGGTGAACGTGGTGGTGTTGTGAGCTTGCGGCGAGTGTGTGGGTCAAGGTGCGTTGAGGTGTGTTGCGAGTGCAGGCGAGGTGTTTGTGTGGTTCGTGTGTGGGAGAATGCGGTGAGCATGTGGTGAGCGTGCGGGTGAGGTCGACCTCACCAGGCATGGCGTGCACGAGGTCGCCACACAGCACGAGGAAGCGTGGCCGTGGCTGCATGCGGTTGACGGCCGCCACCGCAGCACGCGCGAGACGTAGCTCCTCGGCCCACTCGTCCCCACCCGCCACGCTCAACACCCCCGACTCCCACTCCTTCATCAGCCCCAGCTGGGGGTCAGCGCCCTGCACAAACAAGAAGCTGCCCTGCCACTCGCCTGCGGGCCGTCGGGACAGACGGGAGTGCGGGGGTATGGAGATAGAGAAAAAATGGCAGGGCAGGCCTTGTGGGGCAGTGTGAGAGGACAAGGTCAGAGAATATTAAGGGCAGGGAGAGGGGCAGGTTCAGGATCCCCGGGGTAGGGATTGGGCAGGGTGAGGATGAGGCGCAGGGTGAGGGGCAAGGATGAGAGAGATGGGTGAGGGTAGGGATACAGACGGTGTCAAGGGTTACATTGCTGATACAATGGTGTCAGGTGTCTAGTGGTCACATACAATGACGTGACGCTAACCTTGGTAAGGAGCGAGTCTTGGCACATTACTTGGCGATGACGAGAAATTAAGTGCGTTTAATTACCGAGTTAAAACCTGCAAGGTTTGTCTTGAAACAATGATGCTGAAACATGCACTCAGGAGGTAGTGCGGCTGAGAGGACGGGTGAGAAACACATTTTTTATTTGGAGATGTGGAGACGATACGTCTGCTCGTTTTGTTAATTACTGTCGGTGTGTTGCGCGGATGATTAAGCGCCGTGACAGCTATGCCGTGACCTCGCGTGTCCAGTCACGCGGGGTCACGGTCACGTCACATAATTAAGGGTAGTGACGGTCACGTTTAGCTGTCAATTCTGAAGTATGGTGGAGTTTGGCGATACGTAAGGACAGTGAAGACGACGTCGGGGAGGTCACGACCCGCCCGGCGGCGGCTCGCGAAGAGTCACGTCCCGGCTGGGGGAGGATTGGCTCAGACGATCGTCACCGTCGCTCCAGGGTCGCTAAAAAGGAGAACCACTCCGTATGAAAGTCCTATGGATTGCCTCGTCCCCGCCATAGAAATGAGGAATGTTCACCACTGGCTCAGAGCAACATGCATCCATGCTTACTTGAGTAGGAAATCAACGTGTGATTTGCATTCGTAATGAACGAGTAATTAAGGGTCGTGACCACAACCGGGCTCGTCACATTTTAATTCGTGATGCAAGCGAGGTCACGCTCAAGCGGCGTTGTCACGCGTGGTGGCGAGGTGTAGGTGGTGGCGAGGTGTGGGTGGTGGGTGCGGGAGTCACGCGTGGTGGCGAGGTGTAGGTGAGTGGTGGTGGTGGTGTGCGGGAGTCACGCGTGGTGGCGAGGTGTGAGTGGTGGCGAGGTGTAGGTGAGTGGTAGTGTGCGGGAGTCACGCGTGGTGGCGAGGTGTGAGTGGTGGCGAGGTGTGGGTGGTGGTGGTGTGCGGGAGTCACGCACGCTCATCCAGGCCCAGGAAGCGTCGCTCGCGCGCACGCCGCGTGAACTCCACCTCCATCCCCGCACGCGCGCTCCCACTGGGGGGTCCACGCGCTCCCGATAAGTCACGCGCTCTTGATTGGTCACCCGCCCAGAATAATTAGCCACGCGCTCCTAATTGGTCACCCGCTCCTCATGATGGGCAACGTGCTCCGAATTAATCACCGCGCCCTTTCGGGGTCCCCTGCTCCCGATTAGTCACGCGCTCCTAATTAGTCACGTGTTCGTTGATTGCCCGCGCTGGTCACGTGGCCCCGCCGTTGATTGATTTGATTTCGTAGAGCGCATAGGCAACGTCAGGCTCTCAGGTGATTGGGTGCCATCCGGAGCGTCACGTGACAGCGGCAGCCAATTGAGACGAGGGCGCTGGCGATCGCGGAAGCACACTGGGAAATATAATGTCCGCTCTGGTCACGTGATTCTTTGTCCAACACTGGAATTGGTAGTGCATCCGCAGAGGCCCTGTGGAATTGGTAGTGCGGATAGAGGCCCTGTGGAATTGGTAGTGCGGATAAAGGCCCTGTGGAATTGATAGTTCGGATAGAGGCCCCATGGAATTGTGGTAGTGCGGATAGAGGCCCTATGGAATTGGTAGTGCGGATGGGTACCGCTTACAATGACGATCAGAATCTGTATTTCGGCTGAAGGAATCCGATGAGCGATAAAGCTCTTTTTTCACAGAAGTCCAGTATGGGCGTGTCAGCAAGTTACAACAGCAAACAATATAAACAACTAAAGGAGTGCAACATATATAAGATGGTCAGAAAGCCACTAAATATAAGTACATGCATTAACTATACAAGTCCATACATATTCTTGGTTCTTTCGGTAAAGTCACGTAGGTTTCACACCTGATGATGATTGCTTGTGTTGCAGTCGAAACGTCGTGAGAATTGTATTGTTCTATATTTTTATTATTTTATTGTTTCCCTTCTACGTGGTGACTTTACCGAAAGAACCAAGAATATGATTCCCTGCAGTCACGAAAGCTTTAAATCAAAATATACAAGTCCAATTGATGAAGTTTGGGAAAGGCAGCAAACTCAACAAAACATTCCCAGCCCGCACCAAGATAACGCCACACAGCCAGTCGTCCTTCAAACAGGTCCATGCAGGGTGGGCTGGTAGGACAAGTCTCTGCGCTGTCTATTGCTGATTTTACACCCAAAAGCACGAGATTTCACTTCGTTAAAGTATTGAAAGGGGACGGACGGACACATTAATCTATTGCAGGCTGGTACACTCAGTTTACAACTTCGTTCCTACCAGTAATAGCACAAACAGGTCCCAGCAGGGTGGGCTGGTAGGAACATTGGAATTTTGCGCAATTTTATGACATTGTTACGTAAAATTGTGCAAATTGAGAGCGTCTTCCCACCTTTTTGCCCTCAAAATCGTTGAGGGTTCTTCGGACAAATTATACACCCAACAGCACGAGATTTCACTTCTTAAAGTATTGAAAGGGGACGGACGGACACATTAATCTATTGCAGGCTGGTACACTCAGTTTACAACTTCGTTCCTACCAGTATAACATGAAACTATCGATACACGTGTAATGATAAAAGTTACAAATCACATTGGCAAATGTGACTGTATCCAGCACGAATCTTCTGTTTTAAGATATTTTTAACGGAAAATTTCCGACTTTAAGGGAGGAACCAAGGTTTGCTCCAAAGCGTTGGTGCTGCATCCGATTGTTGTTCTGGGGAGACAATGTTGGTGTACTTTGGCTCCCCACCAGGGGGCCTGCGCGCCAACGCAGAGAGCGGCGTCTAGTCGAGACCGCAGGGAGCGGGCACGAGCGACGTTCCAGCCCACGCCTCTCTACCCTCGCACAAGACCGCTGCCAGCCGGAGTTCAGTGGAGCAGATGTCCTGTGCAAACATAGAATCGGTGAACTGTGTGTGTGTGTGTATCAGGATTGCGTAGAGCCATCGGCGGGAGTGAAGTTCTCACTTTACGCCTTATTCGTGTGGTTTTGTGGTTCTGTTTCTCTGCGTGTGAGGCACCATTTGAGGTGCTACTCACGTCTCAGTTTGTGTGTCATTGTTTGCACTCACTGAATTAAGTTTAACACAAAATCTAACACTCAGAATCAAGTTAAACATGGAGGACATAGGAATGTCATGGCTTTGTATGTATTCACTGAATAAAGTTTAATACAAAATCTAACACTCAGAATCAAGTTTAAGATTAAGTCGGACGTCAGAATGCAATGGTCTTGTATGCACTCACTTCATGAAGTTTAATACAAGATCGGACACTCACAGAGTCTAGTTTAAGATGAAGTAGGACATCGGAATATACTGAATCGCGGCTATGATCAAATCTGACATTTGCAGAGCATAGATTGTTAAGCATAAAAAATGGAATTTGTAAACAGCAATTTTACACAGCATTTTGATCGACTATATGAATAAACTACTATTAAAGTTACGTAAAAATCGGACATCAATGCCGTTATGTATCTGTGAACCGTGCAATACAATTTAATAATAAATAATGGTAAATTTTCAAGATCGCTACCAGATGGACTTAGAGCTGGGTGCTGGATGTCCTCAGCGGAATTGATACAAGAATCACGATTCACGATCCACAAGACCATCCACCAACACCAATCCCCGCCATTCGCCACTAAGTGACGGTGATGTCACCACGGCGTCTGTGCCAGGCTAGGTGCAGGTCTTGGGACAGACCCAGCAGGTGCCATGGGTTGACTGAGATGACCGGTAGATGCACCACCAGCTGTGCCCCCTACTGTGCCAGGCTAGGTGCAGGTCTCGGGACAGACCCAGCAGGTGCCATGGGTTGACTGAGATGACCGGTAGATGCACCACCAGCTGGGCCCCCTACTATGCCAACTTGCGGCATTTGAGTCGCCCGGCGGTGGTCGAAGCGGCACGGTAGAACCATTAAAATAAAACCTTTTATGGGCAAAGACACCCCCATCGGTTAACGCCACGCCCAATTTACTTCCTTATATGGGGGGCAAATCTCTGATGGGTGATTTGGTCGGGAGTACGATTTTGTTGTATTATAGCGCCACCGCAAGGTCATCATCATCCATCACCACAATCAAACATTATTGACATGATACATCAGCATCGTTAGTAAATATAATTATCGTCCTTCAACATTGAACATCATTGTTCAACATCCTCCATCACCGTGTCATAAGACATCAGTCAGCAGCAATCATAATCACCGTCACCAATCAACAACATCCTCATAATCGAACATCACTGTCACCACCATTGTTAAGACCACCCGCATAATAATGAATCAGCCGCAACATGCCCGGTGCGACATCACCTTATCACCACCACGATGGATGTAATCAGTCCCCCTTGCACAGCTCCTGGTGTCAATCCACTGCTGGCTGAGGCCCTACCCACGCCGTGCTGGGCGTGGGAGCTACTTTACCATACTTCGCGCTGGTTACTGCGAGTTGGTGAGGCGCAGCAGTGGATGCACTGACGGACAGTACCGTACAACAATGGTTGTTTGCAAAACTGCCCTCTGCTGTTGTGCACGGTCGTCGCCCATCCAAGCACCATCCAGGCTCAACTCAGCTTAGCTTTCGACATCCGACGAGATCGGGAGCGTTCCCTGGTGATTTGGTCATGAGTATTAAGTCGGATGTGCAGTATTTATGCGTAATCTTCCTAAATAATTACAGCATAAACAATCATGTCCTTTAATTTAACCGATAAAACCCGAACTTTAGGACTCTCTTGGGATGTTTGGCCAATTCCTTCTGAAAGAGGCATTTGTCTTCGTTCCACATTAACAAGAAAAAGACCCTCCCCCCACCGCCCACGGGATTGGATTGCGCCCAAAGCTCAACACAGACGGTTGACGAACCCATTTGCTGTCCTGCCATTGCCATCTCCTGGCCACCTAGCAGCCGAGCGGGTTTGGGTGGTTTCACAATCTGTTCGTGATCCACCAACGCTCGCCTAGGTCACGGCGCGCCCACTGCCACTGCGCCCGGCCGACTTGAAGCTCTCAGTCGTTCCGGATTGGAGACTCCTTGGTGGCGTGGGGGTTTACGACTGTTTTCACGATCACCACACGTTGTGGACTTGGGCCGTGGAGTGTTGGGCTGTGGACTGCAGAGTGAATCCATTGTGACCGTGCAAACCGAATAGTATAGCGAGCTCGCCAACTCGTGCGGCGACCCCGCAAAACCCATCAGAAATAAAGTTGTCAAATGTTTTATGTCTCTATAAATAAGCGCTGATTTAACAACCTCAAGAGGTTTGGAAGAATCGTGCAGCCGATGCTATCTACAAAGAACAACGTGGCGCGGGCATGCGTTTCTACGTCCTCCTGTCTCTCCGGTGTCTCACCCCCGTGTGTCTAAGTGTCTCAACCCCGTGTCTCAGTGTGTCCACGGTGCCTCGCCCCCGTGTCTCCGTGTCTCGGGGTCTGGCCCGCCCTGCGATGTTTCATTTTGCAGTTGCTCCCACGCAGCAAGAGCGGTGGTGGTGGGGGAAGGCGATAGGAGACGGGGACCCCGCGCTCTGGGGCCCGAGCACTCTCCGTGCCCCGGGGGCCCCGTGTCTGTGCGAGGGAGAGCATGAACCCTCGCGCAATTAGCGCAGGGGCCCCGTTAATTAGGGGGGAGATGCCACGTGACGTGGGGGCAATACCTGGAAGAGATTACTCGAGGGCGACCCGGGGGGAGCCAATTACAGCGGCACGCCGAGACACACAGCGGGGGGGGGGGGGGGGCATGGTGGAGGGGGGGGGGGCAGGTGATGAATGGTTTGATGTGGGGTGAGAGGTAATTGGGGATGGCAGGAGAAACAGCTGATGCATTTGGATGAGGTGCTGGAGGTGATGTTAACGTGGGAAGGTGACGGTGGTGAGGAGGGGAAGTGATGGTGGTGAAGAGAGTTGATGGTGATGAGGAGGTGATGGTGGTGAGTATGGGAAGTGATGAAAGTAAGGGGAGATAATATCGCTGGATGAGGTGATGGCGCTGAGGTGATGGTGGCGAGGAGACGCGGTGACTTCAAAGCCAATGTCTCTGGGAGGCGACCCTTCCCCTCCCCGCCCCTCCCCCCTCTCCTTGCTGTCATTATCCCATTACCCCGCCTCTCATCCTCCCCTGCACCCGCACTTGGAACCCATGGCAGTTGTTTCCACATTCACCTTCGTGTTTAAACTCGAGCCAAATCATCATCAGCACCATCAGCAGCAGCGGGGGCGGCGGCTGCCGCCCGTGTTCCACATGCACGCTCCAAGCGGCGGGGGTCACTCGCTCAGGGGGAAGCGGTGAT